AGAGAGAGAGAGAGAGAGAGAGAGAGAGAGAGAGAGAGAGAGAGAGAGAGAGAGAGAGAGTAGTGCAATAGAACGAATCATGCGCAGCATTACTTCTCACACCATAATAGCATATATGATTTGTCCATGGCTTCCAACATGTAAGCCGCATTTGCTAAGTCCTAGGTATTCACCACATTGTTGCAGCCGTGTGGTTGCAGAAACATTACTGAGAGTTTTGTTGGTGACTTAAAGCCATCTGTCTGAAGATGGTAGGATGAGGAGAAGTGGAGCTCGAAGTCGTACAATTCATGTTTTGCTAGCTGGTAAGCGGTCGGTGATGAGGTGCTTGTTGACGCCGCTACATGCAACTCAAAGCGGATACGCTTTGCAAATTTCAACGTCGCTTTTTCACCCCATGTTGTATCCTCCAGAGTGTTGGCCAAAGTGAAGTTGCTTGATTATCTTCACCTACGGTAAATGCAAGTCCCATAGGTGGTTATCAACAACAAATTTTCAAATAGTTGTTGGTGACTTAGAGCCATTAGTCTGAAGATGGTAGGATGAGGAGAAGTGGAGCTCAAAGTTGTACAGTTCATGCAAGTGTCGCTAGAACGTGCTGGTAAAGCACAGGTCGCGGTGACAAATGATCCTTAGAGCGCTGCCATGGATAACCACTACTCCGTCACGGAAGAGGACGACGATGACACAAGTATAACTAGCCTAGTGGCACAGAACAAAATGTGCATGCTTCATGTGCCGATCAATGACGACAAGGATAGCATCGCGGTTCGGTGGTGCTGCAAGAGTGGAACGGTGGAGGACTGGTGGGAGGAAGAGGTTGGGGTAATGAGCAGGCACAACTGCTAATGCTAGTGTATCTCTTCGAAAACCTTCTCGACCGCCGAATAAGGCTGCCTCCAGAGCTTCCGCTGACAATAGGCCGAGAGACTGTGGATGAAGAGATCCCTGAATGCGCGATCTGAGAAAAAGTCTGGATCGAGCATGAGGCAAACATCAGAGAAGATGCAGGTATGATAGTCGAAGGAGGCGACTCACACCATGTGGTCGTGGTATTCCAGTGAGTGTCGCGGTAGCGTCGCAGTGCACTCCAAACCGAGTTTTTGAGAAACTCCAGAAACTCCTGGAGCTCAACAAACATGGGGGAAAAGTGAGGTCTTGACGGGGGCCCTGGGTGACGAAGTCCTCCCATGCTCGATTTGCGCTGCTATAGAGGTGGGCTGAAAGGACGCTGCACGGGTCCTCATTGCGGATACCCGCTAAGGTGGGGGTGCGACTTGGAGATAGGAGGTGACAGACCTGGTGCTATCGAACTCAAATATGTCTGATGGGTGAAAAGGGGGGAGTCCACTATGAGAGTATTGATAGGAGGGTTGGGCTCCTAGGCCACTGTGGCAAACGTCTAGACCGAGCCAAGGGTATGAAGGGACAGTGAGCAGGTGCCGCTGGAGCCAGTACTGGCAAATAAACTGGCGGATATTGCAGGCAGAGGTGAATGGATATGGAGGTACTTGGGAAGAAGAGGAGGAGGGCCTCGAGGGTATTGAGCCAGCAAAAGGGGTTCGGATAAGGAGGGGGGAGGAGTGGGGAGAGAGAGGGAAGTAGAAGAGGGGGAAGAGGGAGAAGGGTGGGCAGCAGGGGAGGGGTGAGAAGTTGAGAATGCTAAAGACCCATGAGCTCCAGCTGGGCCCGAGCCATGTAGGTCGTTAGCTCCATCACTCGGTGGGTGCATGGGGTGGGTTGAGGCGGAGGAGAGCGTACTCTGATTGGTAGACAGCAGGGGTAGGAGCGGGGTGGCGGAAGATTACGGAGAGGTGGGGATAATGACGTGAGGCCAGGTATAGGGTTCTGGCCAGTAGTGGCAGTGATAGAGGTGGATCGTGCTAGATGTAGAGGCTGGTGTGGCCGAAGTGGCCACCAAGGTGGATGTGACTGCCTGGGTCTGGGAGGTGGGGTGTGCGGGATGTGTGGAGTTGCGGGGCTGGAGAGGGAGGGAAGAGTCATTTGATGAAGCACCCATAAAAGATAAGGGAGTGGAGTGGTGGGAAGCACTGCCAGGAGGAGATGATTGCAAGCGCTGGTCTGCGAGGGTGAGGCTGTCGAGATGGGCGACAAGAGGTGCTAAATGGGAAGATAGAATGGTGTGGATGTCGAGAGCCGAAGTAACGGTGTGTTCTTGGGATGCGGCTGCAGGGACTGACTGGGAGATGGTTGAGGCCATGGGAGCCTCCGAAGAAGGGCCCGTGCTTGTGGGAGCGGGGTCAGCGGGAGTGGTCATGATGAGTGGGGGGCGGGACGAGTGCAGGTGGCGAAAAAGTAGGGGGGAGGGGATCAACGAATCTGGCAAGCCAATTGGGAAAGGCCGGCTTGCATCTTCTCAAAAAGGGAGGGAGTGTGGGGGCCAGGGTGAGGAGACGGAACAAGGAGCAAGTACACCCACCCAATGTCAAAACCTCATACGTCAAAACCGCAAACCGGATCACCCAAACACCCACTTCACACGAAATCGAAAAGAAACCACACTCCACAGGCGGTCTAACATGGCATTCATTCATCCATCTCAATCACTCTATAGAGTAGTGTGGAGACGGAAAGAGGAGCAAAGTACACCCACCCAATGTCAAAACCTCGTACATCAAAACCGCAAACTGGATCACCCAAACACCCACTTCACACGAAATCGAAAAGAAACCACACTCCACAGGCGGTCTGACATGGCATTCATTCATCCACCTCAATCACTCTATAGAGTAGTGTGATGTCAACTGAAGGGTGCTATGCAGATTGCATACTATCCAGGATAGCATTGGGTAGCATCACTGTCAAAGAATCCATGACAAAGCTATGTGGATGGTTCATACATGCATTTTTTGAATTTTCCTTTTTGTATTAGAAACCAGTGCTGAACTCCGGGCCGCCCGGCGCCCGGCTCGTCGCCCGGGTGGGGGGCCGGGCCGCCTGGCCGGTTGTTCCGCCCGGTTGGCCACCAGGCGAACCCAGCGCATCGACGAGGAGGTTTTTTTTTTTTTTTTTTTTTCGTCGCGGGGGGCCTTCTCCCCCCCAAAGGAGGCCGTGTGTGCAACAACAACAACAAAAAAGGGCCTGTAGGCGCGATTTGAAAGATTTCAAATCGCGCCTACAGGCCCTTTTTTTTTCCCGCTGCGTCGACCTTCCCGCCTCACTGCTGCGTCCGTCCTTCGTCGCCTCCGGACCTTCCCTCGTCACTTCGAGCTGTTGCTGCTGCGTCCGTCGTCTGTCGTCGACCCTGCTGCGTTCGTCGTTCGTCGTCGCCTTCGGACCACGCGCCCGCCTACGCTGTCGACACCCCCCGAACGCCATCGCGCTGCCCGCCGACGCCCCCCGACGCGCGCCACGGTGAGTTGTCAACTTCTAAGAGAGAGAGAGAGAGAGAGAGAGAGAGAGAGAGAGAGAGAGAGAGAGAGAGAGAGAGAGAGAGAGATCTTCTTCTTCCTCCTCCTCTTATCCTCCTCTTCGTCTTCTTCTTCCTCCTCTTATCCTCTTCCTCTTCTTCTTCCTCCTCTTATCCTCCTCTTCTTCTTCTTCTTCTTCTTCCTCCTCTTCTTCTTTCTCCTCTTATCGTCCTCCTCTTATCCTCTCTTCTTCTTCCTCCTCTTATCCTCCTCTTCTTCTTCTTCTTCCTCCTCTTATCCTCCTCCTCCTCCTCTTCTTCTTCTTCTTCTTCTTCTTCTTCTTCTTCTTCTTCTTCTTCTTCTTCTTCTTCTTCTTCTTCTTCTTCTTCTCCTCCTCCTCCTCCTCCTCCTCTTCTTCTTCTTTTTCTTTTTCTTCTTCTTCTTCTTCTTCTTCTTCTTCTTCTTCTTCTTCTTCTTCTTCTCCTCCTCCTCCTCTTCTTCTTCTTCCTCTTCTTGCCCCCCATGCCCGCCATCAGCGATCACCAGTTCCGATTTTTTTATTTTTTTTAATCTGCCTCGTGCGCGCGCGTGTTGGGCCGCGTCTCCTACACCACCCCCCTTCTTCTTCTTCTTCTTCTTCTTCTTCTTCTTCTTCTTCCCACCCTTTCTCAGCTCCCGCCCTCCATCCTTTCTCACCCTCCCTTTCTCACCCCTTGCCCATATTCCAGCTTCATCTTCTTCTTCTTCTCGCCCACCCTTTCGCACCCCCCTCCCATCTTTTTCTTCATTTTCTTCTTCCTCCTCCTCTTCTCCTCCTCCTCCTCCTCCTCCTCTTCTTCTTCTTCTTCTTCTTCTTCTTCTTCTTCTTCTTCTTCTTGACCCCTCCTGCCCGCCATCACCAACCCCCCCCGAGACCCCCCGCTGACATCCCTCTCCCNCCCTCCCCCAGCATCGCCTTCCCCCCCCCCACACAATCCCCGAATTACTTTTTTATTGCAGATTCGGGGTCCTCTAGTGCAGCGCAGCACAACCCCACCTTCGGGGGGGGAAAAAAAAAATTCCTTGCTATGTTTTTGCTACGCCCGGTTCAGCCGGGCGGAACCCCCCGGGCCCAACCGCCCGGGGTCCGCCCGGCCGGGCGCCGGCCCAGCCTAGTTAGCAACTACGTTTATTCCACTCCTGCTGATTCCCTTTGTAGAAGCCTTCGGTCTTCCACTTTTTTCTGAAGTTCCCCAATTCTCTGCAATTAATATGAAATATTCATGGTTCGTGTGTTATCATTTTTTTGACTGGTGATAATTGAGATTATCACCAAATAAAGAGAATTTGGATGGTTCATACATGCATTTTTTCTTTTTGTATTAGAAACTACATTTATTGCACTCTTGCTGATTCCTTTTGAAGAAGCCTTCGGTCTTCCACTTTTTCTGAAGTTCCCCCAATTCTCTGCAATTAATATGAATTATTCATGGTTCGTGTGTTATCATTTTTTTGATTGGTGATAATTGAGAATATGATTATTTTCACTTCATTCATCATGACACCCCATGTTTCTGTGCTTGTGTTCGTGTTTGTGTTTGTGTTTGTGTTTGGCATCATGATAATGGTGGTGTCATTTTTTTTTGCCAGTCGTCGATATTCACGTGTGCCAACCTGATGCTCAACAACAGTGTGGTAAGGGGATTGAACGCAAACAATAAATACCTTCTGAAGTTCCTTAAAAAATGGTTGACCTCGTTTCCTAAAATCCTCAACCCCACAACAAAAAACCAAAGCCTCGACATTGTTCTTTTGACTCATTCCTCCTCTCCCACCAATTGTCGATAAGGCAGCTGAGGCAAGTTATATTACCGTCTGTTTTATTTTAATTTTTATTTTTTTTGTCATAATTGCAAAGAACCCGACTAGGACAAACACAATTTTCAACTAACAGGGACTCTCTTCAGCAGCATAATGTGTCCACCAGGCTGAAAGAAGACGATATAGCAATGATCATACCAACACAAGAACCAACGATTTTGTTGATGATGGAGTGTCCCTTCTCAGCTCCAAATAATCAACGCAACAACAACATTGCAATCAGACTCGCTCTCATTCACACTTCGTATGCATGTAAACAGGTTGCACAGCAAACTGGCGACAAGCGCCCACTCAGAACTCAGAGGTATAGTAACCAAGAACGCAGTTCAGATACAAGTTCACTTCAAATGGCTATGGCGGCACAGCGCCTGTACAACTCTCTGTTCACACACACACAGGATCACCCTGGATATCCCACACGCATCACACTGTACACACACACACACACACACATACACGCTACACTCTCCTATCAGCTATGGCGGCTATGGCCGCTGCTACCCTATCGCTATGGCTAAGCTCCTTCTCTCGCCCACTTCGTCTTCGGGCTCACTGCAGACCACCTCGCACAAGTTGCTGTGGCAGCGCTTCCGCATGGCTTACGCAGGAATGAATGAATAGCTGGGCGCTGCCTCTTGATTTATACTTCTGTATCTCGTTGGTCTGCCCCTTTCCCATGCCCGTGGTGCACAGTCCCATGCGGTACTTGTGTAATGAAACCTGCAGATTCTCAGTGGACTGTACAGTAGGCCGAGGGTGAAGCGTGGGCCTCGCCTCGGTCGGGTCCTAGTTTAGGTCAGATTCGTTATTTTGTTTGGCTGAGGGCTAACCGAGAGACCTACCTGCAAGGAAATTCATGAGGGACAT